TCTTACACGCAATTTCTAATTATTATTTGTGTACCTTTTAGTTTTCGATATCCATTCATTGGAATCATTGCTCAGTGAGTTCGTGTATTAAGTGTAACAAAAATTCAAATGAAATTTATATGTATATTTTTATACTTAAATATTATAAATATAACATAAATAAAAATTTGATATCTCTAAACAATATTCTTCAATTCGGATTTACCAAAAGGGTCAACCGGGAGCTAAAGTTGATGCAATTCAGGCATTTGAACCAACTTGCAGTTGACCCATCATTGACATGGTCACTCCATTGACGTGATAATATTGTTTTTATTATTATTATTTTTAGAAAGGTATATATATATATATATTTTTTTTTTTGGTGAAAAAAATGATTGCATTTTTTTTTAATTATTAAATTTAAAAAGGTATAAATTTTTAGTATCAAAATGATTGCATTTGTTTGTGTGCTAATATTCATTATATGATAAATAATTATTAAAAAAATGTATATTCACATATGTTAGTCAAGCAATATTTTATTGAGTTTCAATTCGAAATTATATAATTTTATAAAAATAACCAAACATACTTTTTCATAATATATTTGCACTAAACAAGTGAAAATGAGAATATCTAATCATCCAATACCTCATAAGCTACTCATTTAGTTGTAAAAGCTTTACTTATAGTTATGTACACTCAATAACTCAACCGGCTTTTGAAAAAAATGTCATCCAACTATCCATTAGTTTTATTTAGAAAGCATAAGTGAACTAAAACTCAATTATGTATGATACAAACTAGATTTACGAAAACAGCATGTATGAAGACATCAAAGCCAAGTTCTCAATGTAGTGTACTTATTCGTAAATCTAGTTTGTATGTATCATACAAACTAGATTTACGAATCTACCCATTAGGAACAAAAGTGCTGGATAATCGGCGTCGAAATCATGCCATAATTTTTTGGGTGTAACCGGCGTAATTTTGGGCGGATCTGAGAAGAATAGGAGATAAAATAGAGAAGAAATAAAAGAGAGAGAAATCAGACGAAGAAGAAAAGTTGAAGAAATAAAGAGATGATGATAAAAAAGAAATAACCGTCTGAGAGGTAGAAATTGAAATGAAAAAAGTTATTTTTGACTAACTGATAACTAGGGTCAATTATGTAAACAATATTTATTAAAAGGTGTAGGGTGTCTTTAATTCCGAAGGGAACCATAGTAAGGCTCGATATAATTGACATCTTGCTCATGAGTATTGGGTTCGTCCTTTTGTTTTTAGATTCTTTATGTAGCTACTAGCCCAATACCAATTGGGTTGGTTTGAAGTATTCTCATCTTACCATGGCCTGCACACTGAGAAATTGGGCTAATTATTAAGTACAGGCCCATTTGATCCACTGATCTTGATGACTCCATTTGCAAAATATTAATTGACATTTTCCTTAGCCTAGAGATATAATATAAAATACAATAACTGATTGTGACGTGATGTGGTTAAAAAAAATTGGAGTAAGTACGGATTCATAATTATAAAAATTTTATAAATAAATATGTAGTACGGAGAATTTTTTACACTATAAAATCTGAGTAGAAAAGAAAAAGAAAAATAAGATGGATAAATATCGTTTTCTTTTTTATTAGTGTAAAGTTGAAGATACATCGAATTCTACCAATATAAATGGACATTCTTTTTTTCCAAATGTCCACTTAAGTTAGGCCTACTTATTGAATTTTTAGCATAGAAATACTAGTTTCACATTCATTGTGTAATCTCAAAAAGACACATGTATGGCAAAGGGGACACGTGTAATCTCCAAATGACAAATCTGGAATTGTGTTCGGATTTTGATGTGCATTTATTTAGAGCAATTGTTTTACATGAAATTCTTATGAAAATCAACATAACTCGTGTATAATCACCACACGAATTTCACAACCTTCACATTAGAACAAGCTCGAAGTCCATTACTAACTCAGCTCGTTTACAATCCTAGTGTAGACTTTTAGTGCATTTGCGTATATGCTCAACTCTAGTCATCGTTTGAAACCTATTAAAAACGAGTTAAGCTCCACTCAACTTTGTTAACAGGCTAGTTTAAAATAAACAAATGAACTGATTTCGAGCTTTTGCGAGCCCAAACGAATTTGTATTTGCAAACAGTTCGGTTCAAATGACAACAAAAAAAACAAGCATTATCTGAGCTCAGGTGAAGACAATGTTATTCAATAATAATACACTAACATATAATAAATTCCACCAGTTGGGGTTCAAATGCAGGAATTCAAACCCAGCCTTCTTAACTTGCAGCTCTAATCTCAATCTGGAGTTGATAATAATTTTTGATACTGCAATATTCTCCTTTTTAAACTCAGTCACTATAATTCTTTCAAGTTCAAAGCTGACATTTGGAGATACTAACATCTCACAAGAAACTACACAAAATGCAAAGGGCCAAATCGAGGTTTTGGTCCGTGAAATTGACAAAATGAAAACTCTTGTTAGAAAATAAATCATCATTCATTTACATATCACTAGACAAA